CCCCAAAACCCCAAAACCCCAAAACCCCAAAACCCCTTCCTCAATTTTCTAAACTGAAGTTACAATTTTTTACAATTTATTTTCTTTTAAATCCAATTATCTCTCTCAATCATTGTGCTTGCCTCTGCATACATAGCAGAACCCATATCCTCATCTGTAGGTGATATGGTTGCATCCCTCTCGTCTCTGGACCTAGATTTTGCATTCTGAGCATTTCTAGAACTTCTCTTTGACCCAAGTACAACTATGTGGTTCTTCTGATGTAGCCCAAAAGTAGCAAAGACCATATCTTCAGGTTTGATTCCTATGATCTTCTTATGCTCTCTGCCGGTTAGTTTTGGGTGCCATTTCTCTCTGCATTTTAGGCAATACGAGACTGAACACAATGGACAACTATGTTTCGAAGATTTGAAGTCTTGTGAAACCTCAAAAATATGAAATCAGTTCGGAGTTGGACAGAGTTGGTAGAGGTTTGAATTTTGGTAGACAAAATTTTAAATTTCAAATCTCTCATATTTCTGACATAGTTTAGTGTCGCAAGTGTCCTTGATGTCCTGCTCTTGGATCTTTTCAATGCAGCTATGTATATGTATAGGACAGCTTATTGAGAAAGACTATACATCAACTTTAGATTTGATGTACATCCCCAGACATTCAGTGTGGTACATGTGGCCACATTGTGTAAGGATCAAGTCATGAATCTCGATACATCTGTAACAAATGGAACACTCTAAGAAATCCTTATTTGATTCACAATTGAGACCAGGAGTTACCGAAGCTCTTGTTTTCACCTCTTCTTTAAAAGAATTCTTCAGACCAGAAGACTCTTAGGAGATCTTAGCAGGTGTCTTCTCTTCTTCATTATGACTAGAAACTTGAGGGATTTACTGAGTCTTTTATCGATAGAGATTTCTAACTAGAGAAATTGCATCACTCATTTTTTATATCTGACATCTTTTCCTCTTTTGTCTCTTGAGCAGGCTGGATGAAGAACTTTGGAGCTTGCTTCTTAGCTATATGATTCCGGGATCTCTTCTTTTCGGATGATGGGGGAAGAGTGAGGGATTTAGAATATTTTGATTTGTCACCTAGATAGGACTTGTTCAGCTTGTTTAAATTCGTTCTTGAACAATTAGTTATTGGGGAAAACAAGAATACACGCTATATTTCAAACTTTTATGATCCTAAAGGGGTTTTGGGGTTTTGGGGTTTTGGGG